TACTGAGAACCTAAAAATAGAAGCTTAGCCGCCTTGGCTTTTAGTCATGAAATAGTATTAGGAAAGGTTGATACTCCTTTACTTGATTTAGACCCTAACAAGAAAGATAAGGAGGGCAATTATAAAATTAAGCAAGAGTGATTAAGGAAAGCATTGGTGATTGGAGGGAAAAAGTGAAAAGTACTGATTAATAAATACCAAATTCCTTACTATTGAACGACCGGAACTCTCGGTAATTGTTTAGTGCCAATCCCTTACTGGTTGATTGGAGAAATGAAAGGAGGGAAAATTTATCACCAAGATACCGGAGAGAAAATTGGTGATTTATTAGGAGTAGGTGATTTAGTGGCTTTACCGGTGGGAGGTGATAAAAATAGGCAGTTAGTGATTACCGAATGAGGTAAAAAAATAATAAAGAGACATGGAACGGAAGGAATATTAAGAAAAGGCTTTTTGGCTGGGGATATTGAGGAAGAAGTTTTCTAATTCCTCTTTTTCCCTCCAAATTAAATGTGAGAATAAATAATCCTTTTGCTTTTCCAAATAATAAGTTTCGGTGGATGTGTTCTTTAAAAAAAACAAGTTCTTATTATCTATCTCTAAAGCTATGTAAGGATTTTCACGTCCACCACTTAAAGAGTGCTTAAATATCTTATCTAACGAGGTTAAAAGGTAGTTTCTTTGCTTTAAAAAGTTAATTCAGTATCTAGTTTTCCGAGATAGTTTATGACGGTCTTTTTTTCTATTTTTTGAGTGAAAAAAAGTGAGATAACTCTCCTTAGATTTCTCATCTTTTTTTATTTGGAAGTATCCAGTTTGATTAACCGATACTTGAACGGTCAGGTTCGGCATGTTAGATTATTAATTTAGCCCTGGCTAGTCCTGCGAACCTGACCGGGAACTGGAACTAACCAAAAGCCCTTAGCCTAATTAAAAACTCAACCAGGGCTAAACTGACAATCTATTTATATATTATTATTTTTTATCTTTTACTCCAATTGTATTCTCAAATAATTCTTTGGGTATCTCTAACCAATATTTTTTTTCCTCTTCATTTTTGACATATTTGCTTATATTGACAATTGTGTCTAAGTGGTAAGCTAAACGGACTACTAATTTAAATACCTCTTGGTCATTACTGCTATTTAGTGCTTTTTTATTATGACTTTTAATCCGCTTTAAGGTTTTTGACTTAGGGTATTCCTGTAAGTAAGTGTCAATTTTTCCTCTATCTATCTTGGCTACTACTTGTTTTATCTGGGTTGTTTTACTTTCATTCATATTACTAGTCTTAGGTGCTTACTTAAACAATTCATTAATCGCTTTCTCTAATTTCCCCCAAGCATTTTTCATAATTTCCTCTAATTGTCTTAATTGTTCTTGCTCTTCGCTGGTAGTTGCTTCATTGTTATAAATTTCACTCCACAGAGGAGCATATTTTTCTTGGTGTATTTGTTTGGCTTCATCCAGTAGCGACTTATACTTTTCATAAAAAAGTCGGGCATTAATAGTTTGGGTTAGTGCTTCATCTAATTTCTTAATGA